TTTTTCATTTGGGTCTCCACCCCAATTTCAGCAAAGGAAGAAGAAGAAGAAGCTTCTTAGTGTAGTGTCTGCCCACTTTTTTTAACTTGTGTTTTTTGAATGTGCGCGCGAGCGGTAGTTAAATTATATATAGTTTTCCTTAAATTTCTAAACTCCTAAACGACGTAGGGGTTGGACCTAATTGAAAATTTTAAAACCCCCCAAATTTATATATTATTATATATATTTATATATATATATATATTGGAGTTCTGAAGAAAAGAGGATAATGGAAAAAAAGTAGAGGGAAAAAACAATAAAAAGAAAATATTGGGGTAGAAATAAACAGGTGAAGTTGTAAAGATTGACAAGATGTAAAATTATGTAGTTTGTCTTTATAAAGGAAATTATCTTCAAAAATTTTTCTGAAATTCATGGAAATAATATAGAAAAAAATATTTACGTTTTTTTTTTTTTTTTTTTTGAATTTCGATTTGAAACAACATTTTGTTTTCCTTATTATATATTAAAAAATATAGAATATATATAATATTAATAATAATATTATATTATATAATTTATATTATTATTATCATTTTTATTTATATTATTATTATTATTATTATTATTATTATTATTATTATTATTATTATTATTATTATATTAATTATTATATTATATAATTAGTATTATTAATATTAATTTTGTAATATAATATACTACCTTTAATATAATATAATAAAATATAATATAATAATATATAAATAAAATAAAAAGAGAAAATAAAAATATTTCTAAATTTTTGAAATAGTCATCGCAAACTTTTTTTTTAAAAAAAAGAATTTCATCAATTTCCATAAATGATTTTGTAAAAAAAAAAAAATTTCGAATATATTGTATAACAATGATAATCTCATTATTATTATTATTTTTTTTTTTTTTGAAAAGTATTATATAAAAGAAAAATAAATATATAAAGAAACAAAAAACATTTTTTCTATATGTCTATATAATAATAGAAAAGAAAGGATTAGAAAGAGTTTTCTTTAAAAAAAACCTATATAAAAGGTATATTCAAAATAGTCATATAACTGTCAATATGATTAGAGATGATGACTCGTTAAAGTTGAAAAGATCGATCAGTTCTCAATATATACAAAAATATAATTTTGAGAGAGAGAGAGAGAGAGAGAGAGAGAGAGAGAGAGAGAGAGAGAGAGAGAGAGAGAGAGAGAGAGAGAGAGAGAGAGAGAGAGAGAGAGAGAGAGAGAGAGAGAGAGAGAGAGAGAGAGAGAGAGAGAGAGAGAGAGATATTTTGTCTCCTTATTTTCTTATGTGTGTGTGTGTGTGTTTGTATGTATGGGTTTCCTCAGTGGCACGCGTACTTCGAGTTCCTTTAAGGAGGAGGGATAAAATCGTAACCGATTCGACAGTGGATCTATTATGCTGTACGGAGCTGAAATTACTTCAGATGCCCTAAAGACGGAGATATCGAAAAAACCCATAGCTGACGTACAAATAAATGGTGCTCTAAGAATAGCTTGCTGTTACAGAACGGTATCATCGGATGCTGCATTAGTTATAGCAGGAGTTATCCCGATTGATCTATTAATGAAAGAACGCAGGCAGCTATATACAAGAAAAATGGAGATACATAAAGAAGAACTAAAAAAGGAAGTTCGAAATTCAACTTTAGATTCCTGGCAAGAAAGATGGGATAATAGCAAAAAAGGCAGATGGACTGCAAAACTTATCAAACGATTGGACTCTTGGCATAATAGAAAACACGGCGAAGTAAATTATTATCTAACGCAATTTTTGACAGGACACGGATATTTCCGACACTATCTGCATAAAATGGCAAAAATCGAAATCGGAGACTGCATATACTGCCTAAACACGACTGATAATGTAAGACACACGTTTTTCGAGTGCAATAGATGGGCGGAAATCAGAAGGAAATTAGAACTTCAACTAGGAGAACTTCTCTCAGTTGAAACAATTATAGATTTAATGCTTAAGACAGAAAATAATTGGAACAGTGTCGACACATACGTCCATGAAATTCTAACAACGAAAAAACTCGAAGATCAAGATATGTAAAATATATATATATATGTTGTTTTGTTTTATTTATTTAATTTTATATACTGACGAATAAAATAAAAAAGATTATAAACCCAGGCTGGTAGAAAAGAAAAAAGAAGAAGCCGAAGCTCGGCTAAACACCGCCATTTTGCCAAACTCCTGATGAAATGCGAAAGCGATACCGGGAGTTTTTGGTAGGCGAGGAAATAGGGGGTTTTCAGAGAAAAAGCTAAGGACTTTCTCTGTGGTTTTTAGTGGGTATTAGTTGCCTGGAAAGAACCATGGTTATCTTGAGTCCTACACAGCGTGCGTAAAAGCATTTTTTCCGCTTCCTCCTAATAAAAAAAAAAAAAAAAAAAAAAAAAAAAAAAAAATTATTATTATTATTATTATTATTATTATTATTATTATTATTATTATTATTATTATTATTATTATTATTATTATTATTATTATTATTATTATTATTATTATTATTATTATTATTATTATTATTATTATTATTATTATTATTATTATTATTATTATTATTATTATTATTATTATTATTATTATTATTATTATTATTATTATTATTATTATTATTATTATTATTATTATTATTATTATTATTATTATTATTATTATTATTATTATTATTATTATTTTCAAATATTTCATTGATATTTTTTTTAAACATTTTTAAACAAAATTATCAAAATATTATTTGAAATTATTTTTTTTGGCGCTTCAATTTTTACAAAACTTGTTTCAAACAATTTTCAACTTGTTTCGAACTAGTTTGAATTTGCTTTGAACTAGTTTGAATTTGTTTCGAACTAGTTTAAATTTGCTTTGAACTAGTTTGAATTTGCTTTGAACTAGTTTGAATTTGTTTCGAACTAGTTTGAATTTGTTTCGAACTAGTTTGAATTTGCTTTGAACTAGTTTGAATTTGTTTCGAACTAGTTTGAACTTGTTTCGAACTAGTTTGAACTTGTTTATAAGTCTCTAAAACAATTTACAAACTAGTTTGGAAACAATTTTCAATTTGTATCGCATAAAAATTTACTAAAATAATTATTTCAAAGAAAATTTTTCCAAACTATAGTAGGAATATCTTTTAATTTGTTTCAAACATGTTTTAAATTGTTTCCATAGTACAATTCTGGATAGGGGGTTTTTTTTTAGAAACATGTTTGAAACAATTTATAACCAGTTTCGAAGTTGTTTGTTTTTTATTTCAAATAAGTTTGTACTTGTTTTAAACCATTCTGAACTAGTTTCAAAGATGAAGTATTTAGAAAAAAAATTTATTAATTTTTAATTTTGGTAAAAAAAATGTTTTTTTTTTGTTTTTTGAGTCAATTTTGAGGATATATATTAAAATTTTTCGTGGTTTAAAATTGTGATAACTGTATATAAAAGTACGAAACAGGGGGACTATATATATATATATAATGTTTGGTAATATTTTATCCTATCGGATCAAGTAGATGGGTGAAGGTGGTGTTGTAAAGAAAGGAGAAAGATGTTAAATTGAAGAAAAAATTCGAATGAGAGAGAAAGAGAGAGAGAGAGACAGAGAGAGTTGAGCACGTGGAGAGTTGAGGTGAAAAGGAGAGGATGGGGCAGGTGCAAGAGTTTCATTTCATTTTTCAAACGAGCGGCAAAAGTCAAGTTCCTTAAAAGACCGACGACGAGAGACACACGACTCTCTCTCTCTCTCTCTCTCTCTCTCTCTCTTCTCACTTCTTTTTTTATCTTTATATATATATATATATATATATGTAGTTCAAACTCCTTTTCTGGATAATTGATACAGCTTCCAGAACTATTAGGAGATAATAAATTTTAATTCTCTCCTTATATATATGTGTCAAAGCGCGATTTTAAAATGTGGTTTGTAACAACTTTTTTTTGCCCCTTTTGTTTTTATGTTGGAGTTTTTTTTTTTTTTTCATTTCCTCTTTAAATACAATTTATTAGCACATAATTAGTAAATAGGAAAAAAATTTATTTCTAGATATATAAATTGCAATTGAGATTTTACTATTTTCACTTTTAACAAAAGAGATTTTTTCTAACATTTTATCAATTTTTTTTTTTAAATGATTTTTATAATATTCAATAATTTTAAACAAAAAAAAAAAGGTATTTGTAAAAAGTTTTTCATGCTTTTGAAAAATAATAATTATTTTATCAAATAAGTTTTTTTTTTAAATTTCCAAAAATTGCAAATTTTTGCATTATTTGATTTGATTTTTTTTTTTTTTGTTTTAAATAAATTAATATTTACGCTTGGAAACAAATAAAAAAAATTTTTCATTAAATAATATTATATAATAAAAAAAAAAATTAAATTAAACGTATTCGCAAAAAGAAAAACATTAATTTTCCATTAAATTTCACTTAATTTTAGAGACTAAATTAATTAGTCATTAATATGCATAATTGATGAAAATTATTACCCTGAAAACTGGTTGTCACGCATCGCAATAATCAATCAACAAGAACTGCGCTTTATATAAATATTTTCATCATTATATCATTTAGCACAAATATTTATCTTTTTTTTTTTTTTTTTTGCAAACAAAAACAGAAAAAAATTTTTGTTTACAAATCTTTAGTAAAATGGAAAAATTAATAATAATAATAATTATTATTATTAAATTAATTTATTTGTTTTATAATAATAATAATAATAATAATAATAATAATAATAATAATAATAATAATAATAAAATTCTCAACCACACGGAAAAAAAATCTTTATCTGGAACAGTGATATGTTTCTCTAGAATAATGAAAACATTCGCTGTTTTAGTGAAATATATCGCTGTTTCAGTGAAACTTATCGCTGTTCCAGCTTAAAAAAAAAAATTTCCGTGCAGTAATAAAAAAAAAATTATAAAATTAAAAATTTAATATTATTTGCCTAAACTTACCATATTCTAAGATGGAAGCAAGCAAACATCTATGATGAAATGTATGAAAGGTTGCCTACTTTCTGGGTTCTTATATATACCATCACATATAGTGATATGCGTCGTGCGATAATTTTCATCATACAATAGAGGCATTGTGTCGTTGATTTCTTATCACATACAAGTGAAATGATGACTTTCTATGTCAAAAAAAAAAAAAAAAAAAAAATTTCCACCGTGAAAGGAAGGTCGTCAACTTGTCGCAAAATCATAATGTTTGATCTAATTCTTCAATGAGTAGATTGACCTGTAACGATACGAAAAAAAGAAAAAAAAAATTTATAACAGCTTTGTTCTGTCTAATATGATTATTATCAGAGGGTTAATTAAAAAAAAATCATTGACATTTAACATATATTATTGAGATTTTTATCGAAATCTTTCTAATTAAATAAAAAAAAAAAAAAAAAAACGAAAAAAAACAAAATTACTAAATAAATTTTCATTAATTACCAATTAAATTAAAAATTACCAATTATTATTATTTCACGTATTTATAAATTAAAGAATAATTTTCAAAAATTAACGAATAAATTTCTATAAATTACCAAAAAAAAAAATACTTTTATCAATAATCTTACATAAATTACCGAATAAATTACCAATAACTTTCCATAAATAACAGAAAAAATTATTTTTTTTCCATGTAATTATAAATTACTGAATAATTTTCAAAAATTACCAAATAAATTTCCATAAATTACCAAAAAATATACTTTTATCAAATAATCTTCCATAAATTACCGAATAAATTTCCAATAAATTTCCATAAATAACAGAAAAAATTATAAATTGCCAATTATTTTTTTTTCCATGAAATTATAAATTACTGAATAATTTTCAAAAATTACCAAATAATTTTCCAATAAATTGTCATAAATTACCAAATATATTACAAAAACAATAGCTTTCCATAAATTACAGAATAATTTTTTAAATTACCAAATAAATTTTCTATAACTTTCCATAAATTACAAAATAAATTATAAATTACCAATTAATTTTTACACATAATTATAAATTACTAAATAATATTTTTTTTCAATAACCGTCCATAAATTACCGAATAACTATTCATAAGTTACAGAATAAATTATAAATTACCATTTATTTTTCTACGTTATTATAAGTTACTGAATAATTTTCAAAAATTACCAAATAAATTTCCATAAATTACCAAATAAATTTCCAATAAATTGCCATAAATCACCAAATATATTTTTCATCAATAACTTTTCATAAATTACAGAATTTTTTATTTTTATAAATTATCGAATAAAGTTTCATAAATAACTAAATTTATTTTCTATCAATAACCTTCTTTAAATTACATAATAAATTTTCAATAACTTTCCATAAATTACAGAATAAATTTCCAATATTTTTCCATAAATTACAAAATAAATTATAAATTACCAATCAATTTTTACACATAATTATAAATTACTAAATAATATTTTTTTTTGTCAATAACTTTCCATAAATTACCAAAGAAATTTCCATAAATTACCAAATAACTTTTCATAAGTTACAGAATAAATTATAAATTAACATTTATTTTTCCACTTTATTATAAGTTACTGAATAATTTTCAAAAATTACCAAATAAATTTCCATAAATTACTAACTATATACTTCTTACCAATAACTTTCCATAAATTACAGAATAATTTTCATATATTACCAAATAAATTTCCAATAAATTGCCATAAATCACCAAATATATTTTTCATCAATAACTTTTCATAAATTACAGAATTTTTTATTTCATAAATAACCGAATAAAGTTTCATAAATAACTAAATATATTTTTTATCAATAACCTTCCATAAATTGCACAATAAATTTCCAATAACTTTCCATAAATTACAGAATAAATTTCCAATATCTTTCCATAAATTACAGAATAAATTATAAATTACCAATTAATTTCCAATAACTTTCTATAAATTACAGAATAAATTTCCAATATCTTTCCATAAATTACACAATAAATTATAAATTACCAATTCATTTCCAAAAAATTTCTATAAATTACCGAATAAATTATAAATTACCAATTAATTTCCAAAAAATTTCTATAAATTACCGAATAAATTACTATATATATATATATATATATGGTAATTTATGGAAATTTTTTGGAAATTAATTGGTAATTTATAATTAAATATTATATGTTGGTAAAACTTTTTCCATCTAATTATAAATTACTAAATAATTTTCAAAAATTTACCGAATAAATTTCCATAAATTACCAAATATATTATTCGACAATACTATCATTTTTCAAATTTATCAATTTTTACAAATTAAAAAAAAAAAGATTATAAAATTAAAAAAAAAATTAAAAATAAAAAATAATTTTTAACTTTATTTTTTTTTCAAATAAAAAAAAAATATGGAATTTAATTTATTCATCGATAATTACAACGAATTAACAATAATATACACAATATTGTATTATTTTAATTTGCAATAATTTATGATGTAATTTATGGAAACTTTCCAGGAAATTCATGTTTGGTATATTATAATGATAATAAAACATAAGTAAAGTTAAGAATGAAAAAAAAAAAACATTAGTAATGCTTCATATAGAAATAATTAACAACTACATTTGGAAAGTTCATAATTTAAAAGATGCAAAAATAATTTACTTTCTACGCGAGTAATATATAGTTTATGGCATTAGGCATAAATTGACAGTTAATTATGCAACATTAGTGCGTAGGTAATTAAAATCAGAAAAAAAAATTTCGGGAATATGCGCACAAGTCAAAAACAAACATTTGTGCATAATTAAATCTGATACTGAGTCAACCGGTCTCATATATGTATATGTATATATATGTACTTATATCGATTAAGAAGTTCCTCGAATGGAACGGAAATGGGGTAAATAGTTCGCGTGCAAAATTGTGTTTACATAAAGATTATAAATTAACGATAAATAAGTCATATATATATAATTATGCAATGAGATCCCATATAATTATATATATATCGACATATTTTAATTAAAAACTGAAATTTAATTATTCAATTATTTAATTATAAAAAGGATTTTAATTGTTTGGTTCATTTTCCCTAACTCCATAAGTAAATTAATTTTATTATTGATAAAACAAAGAATTAGTTTTAGAAAAAAGAAAAGAAAAATAATTTTCTAATATGTTTATTGATAGCAATTTTTTTTTTTTTTTTTTTTGTTATTATTATTAACATTAAAAACACGTTATTTTGCGAAGGTGAAAGTGTCTTCCAAACTGGTTTTATCGAGCACTTTTTAAAAATGCCAAAAGTCATTCTAAAACTGTAGTAGCAAATCGATATTTATTACAATTTTCAATTAATACAATTTTTTTTTTTTTTTTTTTTTTTTTTTTTTTTTTTTTTTTTTTTTTGCGCAAACGTTTATTGAAATTAGATATTTATCTCTTTTATCACATATAATTATTGTTTACTGCTTCAATTAAAAAGCAATAAATAATAACGAATTACAATTATAATTTGTATGTTTGTATATTAATAATAATAACTTAATTAAATTTATACTGAATAGTTTTGAACAAAATTTTCTAAAATTTATTGAAAATTTAAAAAAAAAATTTTTTAATTGTTTCAATTTTAATTAAAAAAAAAAAAAAAAAAAAAATTTGTATTACTTTAAAACACCTTAGAACTAATTTTTGAATAACTTCATTCTTGTATCAAACAGTTTCAAATCGTTTCAAACAAATTCAAACTAGTTTTAATAAGTTAAAAAAAAAAAATTTCAAAATTATTGAAAAAAATTTTCAAACTTATTTTAAACAAGCTAAAACTAGTATCGGACAAATTTAAAAAAAATTTTAAATAGTTTTAAACAGCTCAAAACCACAATTAGACCACTCTGAACAAGTTTCAAACAATTTCAAATCAGTTTCAAACAACTTCAAAGCATTGTCAAATAATGTTAAAACTGTTTAGAACAACTTTCTACTAGTTTTAAAGTGTTTCGAACTTGTTTTGTTCTAGTTCCAACCTGTTATGGCCACTTTCAAACTAGTTTCGGACCATTTCGAACCAGTTCTAAACTGTTTCCATCTAATTGTAACTGTATTAAAACTGTTGAGAACAACCTTATACTAATTTTTTTAGTATTTTGAACTTGTTTTGGAGTACCTCCAACTAGTTCTAAATAATTTCCAACATGTAATGGACAATTTCGAACCAGTTTCAAACAACTTTGAACCAGTTTCAGATGATATTCAAACTATTGTCAAACAATGTTAAAACGATTGAAAACAACTTTCTACTAGTTTAGAAGTGTATCGAACTTGTTTTGGACTAGCTCCAACCTGTTTTGGACAATTTCAAACTAGTTTCGGACAATTTCAAACCAGTTTCAAACAACTTCAAAGAATTGTCAAATAATGTTAAAACTGTTGAGAACAACTTTCTACTAGTTTGAAAGTGTTTCGAACTTGTTTTGTATTAGTTCCAATCTGTTTTGGCCACTTTCAAACTAGTTTCGAACCATTTCGAACCAGTTATAAACGATTTCTATATAGTGTCAAACGAAGTTAAAACGGTTGGTTAGGAACAACTTTCGGTTGGTTTTGGAGTATTTGAACTTGTTATGAAGTACCTTAAACTAGTTTTAAACAACTTCAAACTAGTTTAGGATAATTTCAAACAAGTTTCAAACGATTTTCAAACTATTGTCAAACAATACTAAAAACGGTTGAGAATAATTTTCTACTGGTTCCAAAGTATTTCGAACTTGTCTTGAATTACCTTCAACTAGTTTTGAACAACTTCAAACTAGTTTTGGACAACTTCGAACATGTTTTCAAGTGTTTCAAACTGGTTTTTTGAAATTTTTTTTTCACTTTTTGAATAATTTGGAAATTTTTTTTTACAAAATATCACTGTAATTATTGTCAGGGGGAAAATAAATTGTCAGCTAAAAATTTTAATTAATTTTTTTTAAAAAAATTAATTAAGAGGGAAAAAAAATGGTTTTTCATTTTTTAAATAGAGAAATGAATAAAATAGAAATTGAAATATTGAAAGAAGGCCATTTACATATTTGTATAAAGATTGTATACGCAAACACTGCAATTAGTGTTAATATACAAATAAGCTATTGAAAGATTTGTAAATAATATAAAAGAAGAAAACAAAATTTCTCAATAACAGTAATTGACGCAGAATCCGTTTTGCTGACCAATTAAAGACACGAAAACCAGTGTTACGTGC